CTGGATAAGTTGGCGGTTCATTCCGCTGTGGCAACCCTGGATTAATAAAGGGACTAAGCTGGCAAGAAGTTTAATGAATGAATGATTGATAGTAGTACATGCAACATCCATATCGCAGTGAAGTGCAATACATTAAATTAATTTTCTGTGCCAAGCATTTGTGGGCTGCAATCATTGGTTGTTTATGTAATCCAAATCTGTCCAATCAGATGTGACCTTTGCGATCTTTATCCCCACCTCCCAGTAGGTGCTTATAGATGAACCGAGAGCTGAAAATACACACTAATGTTGGGAGACAAGAGAGGAAAATGACAACAACCAATAAGAATCAGAAAGTTTACAGAGGATTTCAGTCATTCCAGGGTGTTCACAGGGTCTTAAAAAGTAGTAAAAGTTGATAAGTCAATTTTGAGAAAATTAAGGCCCTTAAAAAGGTACAAAAAAGTCTTAATCTTAAAAGACTCCTGGTTGAAGAAAGACGAGTTTAAACAGTTGCTGACTAACAACTGCGTAATTTTCTTTTTCAAGCTTTGTTTCTTCTGAGCTTATCTGAGTTCTGTTGCATGGGTGTGCTCCATTGATTTATTTAACTACAACTGTTTATTAAGTTAAAGGTTCGATACTGATTAGAACTTGAAGTGGCGATGAGGTCTTAAAATATTCTGAGAAGGTCATTAAAAAGTCTTAAAAAGGTGTTGAGATTATTTTTAGGATTCTTGCATATACCCTGCATTTGTTGTGTTTTTAAGTCTAAATTATAATTTTTACATTTATTTAATCAACCATTACCTGTTTATCCATTACCTCTTTAATAATTAATTAATTAAATAATAATAATTATTTTTTATTGCTGATAAAATATTATTTTTAAAGTTACTTAAATTGTAAGAAATATCGTTATCATAACACCCATCAACAATAGTGCATATCATATATTTTCCCACTATCATGCTTATTAATGATTGGTCAATAATTACTATGGGGCTATATTGGAAAAGTCTCATAATCGCGATAATAGTACATGCTATATCCATTCATTTTTGCTAAGATCTGCCCAGTCATTCCATGTTTTTTAAAGTCTAAATGTTTTTTTTTTTACTATTTAATACTATTTAACAAAAAATTTTAAAATATCTATTGCCTGTTTATTTTAGTATGATCATTACATAAATAATCACATTTTTATTGCTGATAAAATAGCATTTCCTTTAAAGCTAATTATACTGTAGCACAAGAAATATCATTATCGTAACAACAAAATCACATTTCACATTTCTCCACTATTATGCATATAAAATTTGCTAATACATTAATAAAATCGGGCGGCACGGTGGTGCAGTGGGTAGCACGTTCACCCTTATAGCAAGAAGGTTGCTGGTTCGAGCCTCTGCTGCGTCAGTTGGCGTTTCTGTGTGGAGTGTGCGTGCTCTCCCCATTTTCATGTGGGTTTCCTCTGTGTTCTCCGGTTTCCCCCACAAGTCCAAAGACACACGGTATAGGTGAATTGGGTAAGCTAAAACTGTCCATAGTGTGTGTGGGATTTAGTGTGTATGAATGTTTCCGAGTGGTGGGTTGCAGCTGGAAGGGCATCTTCTGCAGAAAACATATGCTGGATAAGTTGGTGGTTCATTGCACTGTGGCGACTCCAGATTAATAAAGAGACTAAGCCGAAAAGAAAATGAATGAATTATAAAAATCTGAAAATTATACCTGTTAGCATTACTTCTCATAGATATCATAGTTAGGTCTGCCGTGATGTTAATATTTACTCATAGCATCTTCTCATTGGATAAGAAAATGACAAAACATCAATTGAATCCTGCAGTCATTTACTGTGTCATAACTATAAGCTCAAATTAAAGACAGCTTGATTGACATCAGCACTTAAGCTAATAAAAAGCACAAGGGTTGTTCGAATGGAAACATGCTTATTTTAGCACATTGAATTAAAAGTAACATCTCTACATTTTAGAAATGAATGAACTATTAGCAGATAATAATAATTGGGTTTTGTTACTATCAGATGATACAAATTTTGTTTGGGTTTTGTGTAGTTTTATAGTTTGCACTTACAAACCATACTCATGAAAAAAAAATGTAGGCAGGCATTATTGGAAAGAAAATTATCTAGTAAAATTATAAACCACAGGCTCATTGTGGATATGTACCCCTGTCTATATCTCTGGAGAGTGTCAATTATGTAGCCAGAGGTGCATCTGGCTGCATTTTGTCTTTAAAAAGAGCGCTACGGGGTGGTATGATGGCTATGACGGCTTCTGTTCATTTTAACACTACCAGCTGACTGCTTACCTCCATTTGGACGGCTTTTTCAGTCTTACCAGTTTGCCTAGTAGCTCGCCGCATACTTCGGCGTAAGGGTGTCACGATCTTCCAAATCCTGGATTCGATTACATTTTCGATTCTAAAGGCACAATTTGATTCAATTTTCGATTATGAACAATTAATTAATTAATGACCAATTAATTATTTGTAGCCTACCGTTTAAACTACCTGACCTGCTTGGTCTTTGTTTTACCCATAAACAAATCATACAGTAAATGAATAAAGGCAAGATACACACATAATTACCACCTGTCAATCACTTTTTCTGCGGGACTCGAGAATAGGCAGTGATCTGTGTCGTTATAATGGCGTCAGTAAAAAAGACGCACAACCAACTGGAACCAGTCATCAGTATCTGAGATGTTCGCTAAAATGACTAAGTACAAGTGAGTGAAAGATTGAAGCAGTCTACTGATCCTCTGACTGCCTGAACCCGCTGTCTCGAGCCCATGGCTGTGTGTGTGCGTCTGTGTCTGTGTGTGTCAGAGGTAGAGAGGAAGGAGGGCTGCTCAGAAATGCCACACGCCACTGTGGATGTCAAATCGTTGTCGTTCTAAAATGCCATTTAAAAACAAAGACAGTGTAAACAGGGCCTGAGTGTGTACTTTTCGCGAGCGGATTTGCAACGGGGGCGGGCGGAGGATTGCGATGCCGGTGTTGTCTATCGGACGAACCGTACGTAATACGTACATAGCAGAGCTTGCAAAACTGTGTTTTTTTTGTCGACAACACGAACGTTGTCAACATAACTCACTGGAAATCCAAAATGCTTACACACCGGCGACTTCATTGAAAGAGGAGAGGGTTTAAGCTCTGTCGACGGGTCTCCTGCGCGTGCAGTTTAACAAGCACTTCAACAAGCCTGTTTTTTCCTGCTTGGCAAGCCAAGCTGACGTGACATGGGGGCGTGGCAGCATCGACGATTCTATTTTTTGATTCGATAATCGAAATTGAGCATAAATTTTGATCAATTTCGATTAAAAATCGAAATTGTGACACCCCTACTTCGGCGTACTTGGGACGTGCAGCAGAGTTGACTGCGATGATGGGGTTTGAGTCAGGTGAAGAACGGTTTGAGAAACCAGGTAAATAAAAAGCAAAAAAACAAACAAACAAATAAATAAACAACAGTCTGAAAAGGTGGTGAAATCACATGGCCACGATAGCTTTTCTTTCTCTAGATTGCTTTTGAAAACACAACCTATCGGTTGGGTTTAGAGAAGGGGGTGGGTGGGTCAGTTGATCAGTCGACAGCAAGCTGGCCTGGTTGGCTTAAGTGTTTATTGCGCCCTCTGGTGGATTTAAACGAGAAGAGGATGCGCGAGAGAAATTCGAGATCATCAAAAAGCGTATACAGCAGCTTCTGGTGGATTTGCAAAAACAAAAACTGCGAGCAGATGTACCTTGTTCATTTATTCACTTTCTTTTTGACTCAGTTCCTTTATTAATCTGGGGTCGCCACAGTGGAATGAACCGCCAACTTATCCAGCATATGTTTTACACAGCGGATGCCCTTCCAGCCACAACCCAACACTGGGAAACATCCCTACACACTCATTCACACACTCCCATACACTGGTCATCTACAGTAATTCAAATATAGCACATGTCTTTGGACTACGGGACACCATCCAAACTCAACACAGAAACGCCAGCCGACCCAGCCGAGGCTCGAACCAGCAACCTTCTTGCTGTAAGGCGAACGTGCTACCCATCGTGTCGCTGCAGACGAACCTCCAGTTACATATTTCGCGGTCCCCAGAAAGATAGATAGGTAGGTAGATCTAAGAACGTATCTGCAATAAGCCTGAGTTGAATTTATCAGCTAAAAATTAGCATTCTACTTCAAAACTACTGACATTCAGTAAGTATTAACCACTAATATAATATATTATAATATAATCCAAGCTAAAGCTCTACAGTTTGAGACTGCAGTAATGAAATAATAAAAAATCATTAATCCCTGATTTATGGTGGGCTTTTCAGTACAGTAGTTTTGTTCAGTAACATCAACAAGAAAGCTGTAAAAGAGATGTGCACCTCACCCGCTGTCATAACAAGTTTCATCCTGTACAAACTCTCTCTCTCTCTCCAGTGCTTAGTCCTGATTTCATTTTTTTTCTTTCCTCGAGGAGAGCAGCCTCGCTGTTATTACTTTGGATTCCAGGTCTCTGTTATAAATCATTGTCACCTCGTTTTAGAGACAAACACTCTACCTGCTCATTGCGCTGCGTGTTATGCATGCATTTATATGCGTTTATGATCACCTTCCTGCTGTTTTTTTGACATGCGTGTGAATAAACTCCAGTACCGTGTATATATGCATGTGTGTGTGTGTGTGTGTGTGTGTGTGTGTGTATTTGAGATGGTAAACACATTCCTGGAGTTTGTCTGCCCTTGACCCACCAAGAAGCAGGCTAACTGTTTATCTAGTGAGAGATAGAAGTTGAGAATGAAGATGAGGTTTGCCGAGCTGCATTTCTTTTCAAAATTAGTGTCAAGGGTTATCCCTCGATCTGTATCCGCAGCACCATTAATATAGAGATACTCCCCAGTGCTGCTAGCATTCAGGCTGATTCTTTACTCTTAAACCCAGCTGCTCCGTGTTTATTTGTTTGTACGTGCGCTGCAGTCTAACCACACGCTTGTCTCCTCAGTCAAGTGTTTCCTCATGGACTTCCAGAGGAGTTCACCCTGGTCTTCACCCTGCTGCTAAAGAAGAAATCATTGAATGAGAGCATTTACCTGTTCCAGATATCTGATGAGCACGGATATCCTCAGGTGTGTGTCCAATGTCTGCTTATGTTTATAGATTTGTGGCTGATAGAAAAGTGTATTGAAGGGATAAACGGAAAGTCCTCAAATCCTGATTGTTTTAGATTGTGTTAGATGTAGATTAGGGTTTCACAATTTAACTTTTCAGCATCGATATTGTAATGTGCAAATCCACAATTGACACATTGAAGAATATGCAGTGTTGAGTTTAGTGCTGCACAATACTGGGAAATTATGCAATGTGTAATATTGTTGTTAAGTAACGATATTTCTTACCATATAATTATTATTTTTTTTTATCATTTAATGATAATACTTAAATAAACTGGTGATAAATATTTTTCTGATCCAATAATTCAGTCTAAAAAAAGACTTCATAACCCTATGAAAACCAGATATTTTGATTCTTATTAGCTGTTTAGCCAGACTGGAAGGTTTATCATCTTCATGTATTTTTAGGTCCTGCAATTGTGTGAGCATTTCAAGTGAGCATAAATATTCATGAACAAGAAACTAATGTTTTTAACTTTAATAAAAATATGTTTTATTTAATTATCTATTAAGTTTACATTTGATTATTCAATTTCTGCACCTGAATACTTTTAAGGCCAACTCACACTGTGAGATTTTTTTATAATCCTGATCGATTTTAGCATGTCAAACTGCACAAACATGGCTCTCATACCACACTGTATGATCTTAGCCGTCATAATGTCAGACTGAACGACAGTGAAGATGCAACAAACCAGCAAGAAAACTCCCTTGGAGTTTGACGTCATCCACCCGCGACACTTTCACTATCCCGCGTTCTGAAATGATTGCTCACAACAAACGTAAACAATCTGTTGCGGCAATTTTGCACGCAGCATGTCACAATAATAAAACCAGGAAGAATAAAACTGTTTTGACATTTCCCTGCGGTCGTTTTAATTGTCGCATGAATCGCATCATCAAATTTGGAAAAGCCCTTCTGATTGAGGGATTCATTTAGGAACTCAATATATATGAGTGATTCATCGAATCATTAATTGTGTCGATTCAATTAATTGATTAAGTAATAGGGTAAATGCGAAAGTATGTGAAAGGACTTTTAATTTGACAATTACCTGGGTCAAGCTTTCAGTGAACTGTTATGTGGTTACAAAATCAGCGTGTTTAAGGTCTGTTTTCTTTATAAATCAGCGATCTCCACTGCCCGAATGATATCTGATATAAAGTGGGTCTCAGATTGTACAAGAAGCACTGCATTAAATTACTTTTTTGCCTGCCACGTCTTTAAAATATTAACATTTATTTTACCCCAGTATATTCAATGGGTGTGTGCGTGTAAATGACGTTTCATCTCGTTTTATGCTTAAGCAGCTAAATGAATGCCAAAGTCTATTTAACTGACTGTATTTTAATTCAACAACATTGATGCTGTAAAAGGAACCATAACATTTGGAAAAATCATATCATTAAAAAAATTATATCACTAAAATGTATCAGTATGGGAAGAAACACTAGCTCTGCATATACCCTATTCATGAACGAAACATGTTTAAGTGGTCCAAATCTTATTGATTGATTCATTGAAACGCTAATTTAAATGGTTCATTCAAAAAGGCTGAATAACAAAACAAGTGTGTTTCAACACTTAATATGAAAACAACGTTTGAGATTTTCTTCTAAACTGGTAATTATCCTCAGACTCCTGTGTGTAGGTTCTGTAATTTCACTTTAATGGCAAATAATCATTTATTTTCATTGCCTTTGACGTGAAATAACTGAACAAACTCATTCAATGTTGCTCTCTGAAATACACAAATATCTGGCTTTTTAAAAAAAAATAATTTCATTGCAAACTAAACAATATTGTGCATACTGTAACCTGTAACTTACCCCCATTTTGCTTGTTGAACTGTTTCAACAAGCAATTATTATCATCTGAATGATATTATCTGAATTATTATCATATTTCCAATCATGTGATATTACTTAACTATATTATATATCACAAAAAATGTGTCCTGATCTAGCAAAATGAGTCACAGTGACCCAAATATTAAAAATTAACTGATATCAATGGTAAAAGGAGACTCTAGGATTTAATATCCTATTCAAATTGATACCTTGAATGGTTTTGTCAGTTGAAACAGGACCTCGCTTTGACAAATGATCAGCGTTTATGCCACTGTTGGTGTACATTACTAAGCATTTGATTGGTTTTATACATTGTTTAACACCATATTTGGAGAGCGATACCCAGAATATAGAGAAACTGACAAGAGTTGAGAAAGTTGAGAAAAGCAATGTTCATTTTCATCTAATTAAAATCTTTAACTCAACTTTTATAGTGATTTGACTACCTTTGGACTACAAAACTTTGTGAAATAATGTTTGAATGTCTGTGAATTTAGCTTAATTTGTGCGACTTCTTGCTCATTTTGCCAGATTAGGTCACAAATAATGTATTCTAAAAGGCTACATCATGCAGCCACTACAAATATAGCAAACCCTAACTGCAGCTTCAGAGTAATTTTAAATAACTCCCTTCTTCCCCCCTCTATTTATCACACTCCTTTAGTTCTCACTGGACTGGAATGGTCCAGATGGCAACCTGGCCCTGCGGGCGAGAGGAGCCGACCCTGAAGGGCCCATGGTGGGCTGTGTGTTCGACGGAGATGGTGTGGAATCCCTGATGGACAAGCGCTGGCATAAGGTTGCTCTGAGTCTGCAGAGAGAGTCTGCCTCTTTGCACGTGGACTGCAGCTCCATTGAGAACAAGCCTCTGGAGCTCCGCGGCCAGTTGCCCATCAGTGGACACACACTGTTGGGGATGAGGGCTACTGATGCTGCCCCTGTGGAGGTAAGGAGCTCATGTGTATTGTGTACAGTGTTGTTTCATTCATTTTATTTTCGACGTAGTACCTTTATTAATCCGAAGTCGCCACAGCAGAATGAACCGCCAACTTATCTAGGATATGTTTTATGCAGCGGATGCTCTTTCAGCCACAACCCAACACTGGGAAACATCCTTACACACTCATTCACTCATATACACCACAGACAATTTTAGCTCACCCAATTCATCTATACCACATGTCTTCGGACTTGTGGGGGACACCCACTCAAAGATGGGGAGAACATGCAAACTCCACACAGAAACGCCAACTGACCCAGCCGAGGCTCGAACCAGCGATCTTCTTGCTGTGAGGCGATTGTGCTACCCACTCACCACCGTGCTGCCCCAGTGTTGTTTCATTTGATTCATTTTTTTTTCTTTTTTTTTTTGCAATCAAATTGCCATTTTAAAGGGATAGTTCACCCAAAAATTCTAATTCTACCATCATTTATTCATTCTGCACTTGTTCCAAACCTGTTTAAGTTTCTTTATTCTGTTGAACACAAAGGACGATACAGTTAAAGTCAGAAATATTATCCTTCCAGAATTATGAGCTATTAAATTAATTAAAATATATTTACTATAATGAAATGAGTCATCGTCCATTATCCTTAAATTTCTCCGTTGTGGTACTATATTTTTAGCAGTCTCATTAGAGACTGGAATAAGGTAAAATGTCCAAAATGATGCTCTAAATAGGGTGGTAATAACTTCTTTAGAGAAAAGACCCATAATTTCTTTGTGCAAATTATATTGTTTTATACGCACATGCATAAAAAAACAATATTAGTTTTGGTAAAAACATGCACTCCTTTTCCATATTATAATATACATATATATATATATATATATATATGTAGGGCCTGCATTTTTTTTACAAATGTTATTGAGAATATTCCATAATCTATTATAAAACAAGACCACGTAGCTAACACATATTTTAATCTCATAAATAAATCATATAAATAAATCATATAAATAATGGTTTTAATTTACAGTAGGCTATTTATTAAGAAATGAAGAAAATTTCCACTTAATGATAATAATTATTATTAGTTTTATAATTATTATTAAGTAGGATCTTGTTTATTTTTTATTTTATTTTATTTATTGTAAAAGCCTACAACATATGCTATATATTTTTGTTTTGGAGCTTTGGACACACAAAGTAAATTCCACTTTTAAAGAATAGGTCACCTATAGCTTTCGTCATGAGCCACGGCTGCGTTTAAAATTACATCAATGTTCTCAAAGTGCACTAAGAAGCGAGTGCAACTGTCAATATAAAGATAAAAAAAAAGGATTGTAAAAATACTTTGAAAGCAAATTACACTTAAGATGACTTTAATGCTTTTTTTTAAATACTGGAAGGTTCAAGAGGGAATATGGGGAAATAGAACACAGGGAAATAGAACACAGGGAAATAGAACTACAGCTCTAGAGGTGTAGTTTGCGACGCAGTTTGCGAATGTTTGTTGGAGCGATTGATTTGGGAAACACCAAATCAACTAACTAGGTTTGTAAATATGGAACTTGCGACCTTAGTTGGTTAACAGTGGTTTTCAAAAAAGCACCACTGCTCGGTGGTGTGTGCCAGGATCTGGATTCCAGTTTCACATTTATTAAATTTTACCAAAAAGCAATAACACAAAAGTTTTAATTGAACCAAACATGCCAAAAGGGAACCCTGATGAAACCTTTATAGAAGTTCTAATGGTTTCCACAACAAATACCATTGAAAACTATGAAATCTGAATCATTACAACCAGCATATTTTAACGTGTTCTGAGACTTGCTTATTTAGATTTAGTGGTGTAGCATGCCACCAATAAAATACCAAATGAAAAATCATTAGTGAAGACCAATAGGATAGTTACACACTAAAAAATGTATTGGAAAAAAGTCAAGACAACAAATATGTATTTTTTTTTTATTTTGCTTAAACTTATTTTAATAAGTTAATCAGGTTGACATTAAATGTTTTTGTGTTGCTTTAACTTATATTTTTAGTCATTTTAATTTATGTAAGTTGTCTAGAAAGGTCCATTTGATACAACAAAAAATAAAGGCAGCAATTTTTTTACAGTGCAGTTAGATTTTTGTAAGTTGAGATGACTATAAACGTTGATTTGATTCAAAATAAAAGATTGTTTTACAGTGCTGTTTCCATTTAAACATTCCAATAAAACCATGATGTTGTTTAATAGTATTTTCAGCAGGTAAAAATTGTATTTTTTTACACCCACAAATGAGTAAAATGTGAATCTACTCAATTCCAAGTGAATGTAAACTAGACCAATGACTGCAGAAGCTTCCGGCTCCTTTGATAATGAAGCGCTAATAGAGTAATCGGAAGTGGAAGTTTCCTATAAGCCAGTTTCCTGCAGGTTTGGCCCTAGGCGTCATGTCTGCAGGGGGAAATGTGGCAGGGGTGTATGGGTGGATGTTTGAGAGACAGCAAGACCACAGGCGCTTCTCTTCAGGGCTGAGCTCAAGAAAAAGAGATGAAACGAACAGCCTGTTCTAGTCTGAACGAGCTTCATCCATTACTAATTAATTAGTTCGTTAATCCAACCACTTAGCAAAATGATCATGTAAGTGGTCATATGTAAAGCAGTGGGGGTCTAGCCTTTAAAAAGCTCATTTTGTCTGTTCTCGCTCTGCTTTTAATATGGCCTTTCTGTTTCTTTCTCTTCAGATTGACATCCAGCAAGTGATGGTGTATTGTGACCCCTCTCTGGCAATCCAGGAAGCCTGCTGTGAGATTCCTGGAGCTCGGGTAATAAAGTCTAATCTGTTAAAATTACCAGAAAAAGGCTCTTATGCATGGTGTTACATGAAATTTCAACTTTATGTGTGTGTGTATGTGTGTGTAGTGAATATGTTTATTTTAGTGGTCGACTGCTATGGGCTGTTAAGTTGCTTTTTGAATCGTTATATAGAGCATGGTGGCTGATGGTCAATATTGTGGATCAAAATTGAATGTACACTATAAAAGTAACACTTATTTGGACAGTGTGATAGAATGTTATCCAATGGTTCTGGCTGATTTTGTATTGTAACATTTTTTTCTATATCAGTATTTAGTTTGTCACTCATTTATTTTGAGTTGTAGCATTGGTTTGAACCATTGAGTGAAAGAAGAAAATTATTACTTTACCTATTTACCTTTCATTCTAATTAAAATGAGCTGAATGATTAAAAAATAAATAATGAATGAATTAAATTAAAAAAAAAAAATTATATATATATATATATATATATATATTATATGTGTGATATTGCTTTTATATAACAGTTCAACATTACAAACCTGTATATAAATAAGAAAATCAAACACGGAGAGTCCTAAAACCCTTTTTTTTATTAGGAACTACTTTCTTTCACCATTCATTTACATCTGCAGCTGACGTCAGAACAGCAGAAGCCGTTACTAATTCACCAACATCACTTTACAGCTAGTGTTTGAATGACTCTGTCTAAAGTGATGACAAAACTGCTGATTTTGCTCAACCTTTAAGACTACAAGGCTGAACGTTACATGAAATGCCATCCATATACAGAGATATCTTCTTAGTGTTACAGTCAACAGTATTTCTCTGTTGCAATCGGGATTTAACAATAATTACCCCGAAAATAACAACGAATCCACTAACGTTACCAGACTGCTGTTGTGTTTGCGATAAGGAAAAACGCTTAACACGTGCGGACTTTGTTTATTTCAATCTGCCAACACATATTCCTGATATGCGAGCAAATCGGTATAAATACAGCACTACAACATACAAAAACAGAGATCATTTACCCTGCCAACATGTCTCTGAAAACCTGGGAAACTGGGGGGAGGGGGTGTTCGGGGGGGAGGTTGAGAACAGGATGCAGAAGGTTTTGGGCAGCCACTTTGATCAGGTACTGTACCAAAGTTGGCAACCCAGGGGTGTTTAGTTTACAGACTGTACCAAAGAGGGGAGTGGGTGAAATTACGGGAGTTTTTTAAGAAAGGAATGAAAGCGGGATGTTTGCGGGAGACCGGTCTGAAATACGGGATACTCCAATGAAAAACGGAAGTGTTGGCAGGTGTGCTTACCAATTTAATATTGATTTGTTCTGCTATAGTTAGAAATCAGACTGTTATAGCTTCTAAGCGTAAGGGCTTATTATGCATTTCTGGCGCCATCTAGTGGATCGAAAACGTCAACTGTCGCCGACGAGCTGTCTCTCAGAAATTGTAAATGTTTTAAAATAGGCACTATTTTTGCAAATAAACTGCATAGTTGCAAATCTAAACAACTACATTCTCAACTAAAAAAAGCCTCAAAATATATATTTTGTTATCTAAATGCAGTAATATTTGTCAAACTGTAGTGTTTGCTTGTTGCTGGCTGTATTAATACACAAAGGGTGAAGAGGCTGTACAGATGCTCATTCATTCATTCATTCATTCATTCATTCATTCATTCATTCATTCTCTTCTCGGCTTAGTCCTATTATTAATCCGGGGTCGCCACAGCGGACTGAACCGCCAACTTATCCAGCAAGTTTTTACGCAGCGGATGCCCTTCCAGCCACAACCCATCACTGGGAATTGTACGGATGCTGATATTACTTAAATATATCACAGCTACCAGCCAATCAGATTCGAGATCCAGACAGAACTGTTGTATGTATATATATATATATATATATTCATTATTTCATTTTCTTTTCGGCTTAGTCCATTTATTAATCTGGGGTTCCCAACCTATCCAGCATCCAGCATATGTTTTATGCAGCGGATGCCCTTTCAACTGCAAACCATTTCTGGGAAACATCCACACACACTCCTTCACGCTCATACACTACGGACAAATTAGCCTACCCAATTCACCTGTACCGCATGTCTTTGGACTCAGGCGGGAAACCGGATTTTTTCTGAAAGTTAAAATGTATTCATCTTAATTTACCATATGCTGTGCACTTTTAGAAAAAATGGTACAATGTTTTACCAAAGAAAGGACTAACCCTTGTCACTGGGGCATTACCTTTTTATGGAACAGAATTGTACGTTAAGACATAGATGGGAAACAAGCAGATGTTACATTAGGGAGAAACAGATGTATCCATTGCAGTCAATTAATAAAATAAATGTGAAAATAATGTTTTATTGCATATAACTGAAACAAAAGAAGTAAATTAAAAGAGCACATTTTTTCCAGTAGTTTTAATGAACTGAATCTAGCACAGTTTGAGTATAGGTTGTAATACGTTGTTTTTTTTAAGGAGTGCTTTTTTGCAGCATTCTGAAGTAATACTTCACCCAAGCTGATGAAACATCCACACATGCTTTCAATGATCACAGCAGAGCCAAAGCTCCTGTTTTGCTGAGGGAATGTATGCGTTCTTTCTGTCAAAAAAAAAGAGAAGAAAATCATTGTAGTAGTTGTACTTGGTGGATCAAGCTCCAGCAGCGGCTCTGCTTCTATCGGGACGGCTGTGGTGGAGGAGCAGATCCTGAGTCATCGATGTGGGAGTGATGCTTTATTTGAGGATTTGGAATTTGGTGCGTTTCTCCTTTCTGAATTGATCAGAGCTTTGGCAAGACTTGCTGAATCGAAAAAGGCTCACAGGAGTGCGTCACTGCAGATAACTTCAGAAAAGCATCCAGCCTCCCACAGACCTGAATAGTAAAGAAGTGTCACCTGTGAAACTTACTTGACAAAGGAAGTGCACATGGGAAAAGGTACAGCCAAGTCTGTTAGAGCTGCTATTTTTGATTAGAATTTTGGATCAGAGGAGATTTTCCATAGCCAAGAACCATTAGATGTCATTTTTAGTCTAAAAGATGATTCGGTGATTTATTCCCTTTACAGTTAGCTGGCTGTTTGTTAGGTCAGAAATGAATCACATTTAAATCATTCATTAAAATTATCCACGTGTTTTTTGGTTGCATGCTTCTCTTTAAATGGAAGCCAACTAAGTTTTGTGTTTTGGGGCAATTGCTCCAAGCTCCCTGCGAGCAGTGTTTAAAATGGAAACAAGAGCTACTGTTTTATTCCCCGAATGCATGTGCGCTAATGTGGCTTTTTTTAAAAGCAGTCGGCAGAGATTACATCTTTGAAATGCAGTGGAAAAATGACTTAGGTTGAAGGTGTTTTAAAAGACTGCATTTGTTGAAAATATGGATAGACATAAATGTGCATAAATTTAGGGTTTTAATGCTTGTTACTGGGGCTGTACATATAAAGAAGTATCATTGTTACATTTACATTTAGTCATTTAGCAGACACTTTTCTCCAAAGTGACCTACTATTGATATACATACATATATATATATATACACACACACACACACACACACACAGTTGAAACCAGAAGCTTGCATACAGTCTAAAAAAGGAACATAACCATTTTTAAAAAATGTCTGATGGTAAATCACACTAAACGTTTACTATTTTAGGTCTGCTAGGATTACCTAAATGGTTTACATTTGCTAAATTATGAGATATAAATTATGAGATTATTTTGCCAGAATAATGAGATAATTTTTTGAGATTATATTATTAATTTCTAGACAGTCAAAAGTTTACATACATAGTTTGAAGGAATTCATTCCGCCTGACCGAATTGGTGTAACTGAGTCAGATTTGTTGGCTGTCTTGCTCGCACAAGCTTTTTCAACTCTGCCCACAAATTTTCTAGAGGATTGAGATCAGGGCTTTGTGATGGCCCATCCAAAACATTCTATATGTTGTCCTAGAGCACAGTTTAACTAATTTTATGCTTAGGGTCATGGTCTGTTTGGAAGACCCATTTGAGGCCATGTTTTAATTTCCCGGCTGATATCTTGAGATGTTGCATCAGTATTTTCACATAATTTTCTTTCTTCATGATGTCATCTATGCTGTAAAGCAGCAAATAAGCCCCACAACATGATGCTGCCACCCCCATACCCCTCATCCCACAATTGGGATGGTGTTCCTAGGCTTGTAAGCTTTCCCCTTTGTCCTCCAAATGTGACACTGGTCATTATGGCCAAACAGTTCAATCTTAGTTTCATCATACCACGTCTCCAAAAATTTGTCTTTTTACCAGTGTAATTTATAAGTTAATCTGCCTTTTTTTGATGATTCTGGCTTGTTGATTTTCCCGTTATCACACAAGGAAGCAGTGTGTTTGAGGTTTTCCTTTAATACTATTCTACAGTTGTGCCTCTAATTAGCTTAAATGTTGTCAATCAGAAATTAGCCAATCAGAAACTTCCAAAACCCTGACACCATCATCCTTTTTCAGAGGAAGAATAATCTTATTGTATGTAAACGTTTGACTTTCAAGAAAAGTTATAAAAAATTTTCAGAAAATATCTCTCTCTCTCATTATTCTGCTATTAAGCATAACAGAAACAAATTTGAAAATCCTAACTTACCTAAAAGAGAAACAGTTTAGTCACATTAACATCTGACTTTTTTTAAATGGTTATGTGCCTTTTTATACAGTGTATGTAAACTTCTGGTTTCAACTGTATATGATAGGTATTCAGCGATTCAACATGAAGAGGCAATGCAGGCAAAAAGTGTTATTCTAAGTAACTTGTTCATGATCAGAAATTTGTGGGGTTTTTTTTGTTTTAGTTTTTTGTTGAGAGAGAGAGAGAGAGAGAGAGAGAGAAGGAAAGAGAGAGAAAATGCTTCTATAGGTGGTTTTGGTATTATTCACAAAGGTTCAGGTGTTCTCTGAAAATGGGTTTTTAGTTGTCGTTTAAAGGATGTACCCGCAATCCGCGTGGAAATTGGAGGATCATTCCACCAGCAAGAAACATTGAATAAAAAGGTTATGGAAGGTGATGCGATGGCACCACAAGGCAGTGCTCCCACCCAGGATGGGAGAAGAATTCATGTGAAAAGCATCTTAAGGATATGTGTTATTTTATTAATGGCACATTATTATAGTTTTCATTTTGAATTCTTTTCTATGAACTGTTGTTTTTTAAGTTAATTTTGTAGTAGTATTAGGGCTCGCAAGCTATTAAATTGGTTGAGTCTAATTAATTACATATTATAGTAATTAATCAGATATTTAATCTAATTAATCCCATATTTAATTTGGTTCAGAAATACATAATTTCATTATTAATGCTATAATTGCATCAAAAAAATAAATGGATAATTTTTTTTCCTTAACTGATTAATGAATATAATGTTAAATCCATATCCCTATTTAGTATTCATGTTTTTTAAGTAATTCTTTTTAGTTGTAATTATAGTTTAGTTTTGGTGTCAGGAATTATTTAGTGTTTATTTCAGATAAACGGCAAGATAACATTTTCTTTTTTTAGTTTTTAACATCATTTGTTTATTTTTAAAAGGACCGAATGTAGCATTTTATAAGTCTCAGGTGTCTCCATAATGTGTCTGAGACAGTATACCTCATGAATCATGTACACAACTGATGAAAGTCTTGTTGTCGATCACAGTTGTAAGTTGTAAAAATAATAACTTGACTTCTAGTTAATAATTTGGAAAAGTGGCAGAAGGTAGATCTTTCTATTTTTTCTCAGAGAAATCAGTCAAGTTTGGTGAAGGAAAAATCATGGTTTAAGGTTACATTCAGTATCGGAGTGTATGAGAGACCTGCAGAGTGGATGGCTACATCAACAGCCTGAGGTATTAAGCAATCTGTGCTGCCCCTTACATTACAAACCACAGGAGAGGGCAAATTCTGCATTCAGGAACTTTGATGTGGAGGCTGAAGTTTGAGATGGAGCGCTCCATCTCATACTTCAGCCTTCACATCAAAGTTCCTGAAAGTCATAAAGGTCAAGGCGCTCCAGGATTGGCCAACCCAGTCACCAGACATGAATGTTATTGAGCTTGTCTGGGGTAAGATGGAGGAGGCTTTGAAGATGAATCTAAAGATGATGAACTCTGGGAGTCCTGCAAGAGCGCTTTCTTTGCCATTCCAGATGACTTTATTAATGAGTGATTTGAGTCATTGCAGAGATGTATGGATGCAGTCCTTCAAGCTCATGGGAATCACGTAATATTAATTCTTTTCTTACAGCACCATGACTTTATATTCTATACTGTACATTATTTCTGCTGAATGACTAGACTTTTGTCTAAGCAAAGTCAGACCTTAATGTCCTAATTAAACAATTAGAAATCAAGTCATGATCATATTTTATTTTGCTAAAATAAGGGTAATCTAGAAGACTTTGCCTTTCATATAAGCCACTTCTGATACCAAATGATCAACTAGAAGTCAAGTTATTATTTGTTGTTCCTAAAACTTGCATAGGCGACAAGACTTTTGTCAGGTAGTGTATGATATCATGCTGTAAATTCAGCTTTTTGAGTGTGTCTCTTTAAATGCAAATTAATTGTTGCTCTCCGCCCCTTTTCTACAAGAGGTTGTAGCCCTTGCAGCTCAACAGAATCTACTAAAAGGAGTAATACATTGTAAAAGGAATAAAATTGTGTTAATTTTATGTATCAATACTGAACAAATTGTTTTAATTGGACTCTTGTTTTTCCGTAGTGCCCGCCTGATGCTCCAAAGAGTCGCCGAGCTGCAGAGAACCAGGTGGAGTTTGTGCCCAACCCCTTCAGTCAGGTACATGATCCTGTTCAGAAATTCTCTACTTTGTGTAATTAAAATGGGTTGTACAGGTGTTATTTTTGAAAACATAAACCCTTCTCCTGCAAGAGCACATCTTAATGCTGCACTTGAACACGAGCCGCTAAAAGTGCACCAAGGCCACTAATGACTAGATCTTACCGAAATTAAGAGCGGGGTTATTAGTTATTGAATGCAGGATCTTGATCTTAAGATGGTTTGAAGTGTTTGAAGACAGACGTACTTGCTCTCAGTGGGAGCTATTAAGAGGCCGTACACACACTCGCACGCACTCACACACACGATGCACCCTTGTTTTAGTAAGTAGCACAAAATTCAGTGAAATGGAACATATTGAAGAGGCCTAGAGATGTTTTCAAACAAACTACATGTTTTTAATTGATGGCATTTTAAAGTGCAAGATGCAAGATAATTAGAGTAATGACTGAAAACACATCATCGTTTTGTGCACATAAATGAATGATATTAAAGGGATGGTTCATCCAAATATGAACATTTCTTGTAGTGTTTTCTGTTCATTTAATCACTCTCAAGTTGAAATTTGCTAAAAACAAGCAAAAAAGCAGACAGACAAAATAAAATTTATAGCCATGACTCTAAATGTTGTAATGATTCATGAATCTCGATTCGATTCACAGTTTTAATTTTAAGATTCAATTTTCTCATGATTTTCTTTACATGAAATGAAACTGAAAACATTATCTGCTTGTTAAGTCTGACATCACGTGAAGCAGATTTCAGGTCGAAGCGTTCTATCAAACTCTATGGCGAGACTCAACAAATGGTAATAAAAAATGTTTACAAAGCGATGTAATACCTTGAAAACAGGATTGCAATATATGTATATGCAATGGCCAAAAAGTGATACATTTTTTATCAATTGTTAAAATATTGATGTCTGTTATGCAGCAAGTCCAGAGACTGTTGTGTACACCATGATTTTATATGAAATTCACTTTAATGTGTGATATGACTTCAAAAGTGGTCATAAATGAATATTTTCTCATTTCAAATGAGTAACGGCTTGGACTCGGAAACTAGGGGTGTCAAAATTAATTGTTTCTACGGGGCACAGTGATGCAGACGTGGACAATTCGGTATCGGTTCAGTAATAATCATAACCGGTTATTATGTATTGACGTCATTTTTCACATATGCGCTATGTCGCCGTAGCTAACTATGGCGAGGGAGGTGAACTTGAGTATTTAGAACGCTCCAACTACTTAAAAACGCAGAAACTCACACACTCTTTCACTGACACTTACAGCAGAAGCCCCTATTTCACTGTGATTGAGAGAATGAAAGTGAACTCCATTTTTCTCTCTCTCACTGTGACCTATTTGACCTGCTGGCGTGACTTTTCCTCTTCTCTTGGCTGTTACAGCGATACATCTGGATACAGACACAAGTGCCTGACCAGCAAAGACCAGGCTGGCATATGAAAATGGCCCGAAAATGGTCCAAACCTGTACTGGTCAAGCAGCTAAAACCAGCTTAGTCTGGTTTAAGCTGCTTTTTTTTTTAGCAGGGAAGTAATATCAAGGACTTTTAATATGATTCAAAAGCATAAATAAGAAAAAAATTAATAAAATAAAATAAATTAAAACTCCCTGAAATGTTATAGCCAACTATACTTATAATATGCTAATTTGCAGCAACCAGTTGACTTTTTGTAAGTTCCCCTGTTAAAACCCTTCAATGGTGCACTCCAGCAGTATTAGTATGTAAACAGATGAAGAAATGAGATGAAGATGTAGACTGCTAAATATTCTGATGTTTTCAGCATAAAATGACACTGTTTGTAAGTATTAAGCATTAGGAGGCTTTTGAGTGACCTCCTCTGCAAAATGAAAAATAGAAAATGGCTGTAGTGCAGTGGGCTGTAGAAATGCTGAAGTTAAGCTACTTCTGCAGCTCTTTTATTTTTCACGCTTGCTCCTTTGGTTCTTGTCTATCCACAATTGTTCCTACATGTTGTCTTTCTTTCTCTCTTATACACTTAGTGGTAGTTTGGTCCCACTTTATATTAAGTGGCCTTAACTAATGTGTACTTACATTAAAAAGTGCAATGTACTTGTTGTGTTCATGCAGAGCACTTCTGGTGCTATTGAGGTAGGCTGCAAGTAAGGTTGGGTACAGGTTTGGGCGGGTTTAATGGTGGGTTAAGGTGTAAGGGATGGGTCAATACTACGATTACAGATGCAATTACATACATAAATTGCAAACATAATTACAACCATGCAATTTTTTTAATTATGAGTACAATGTAAAAATATGTATATAGACATTAAGTGCATTGTACCAAATTTTTAATTTACATGTAATCATATATTGTCAAGGCCACTTAATAGAAGTGGCACTAGCAATTTTACTACAGATGGAATAATCATTTTAATGGTCACACTTTATTTTAATGCACAATTCATGAGCATTATCTGACTTATAGCAGTGCAATATGGCTGCATGGTGGGAGGCGTGCGTTGGCTCAAGACCACAGGCTTTGACTGTGTAGGCCTTCACTGGTTCGTCCTACCAGTGAAGATATATAGCCGTATCACACTGCTACTTGTGTGATATTGCGTCTATACAACATTTCAATGGCATTATTGTGTTTATAAAAAAGAAATTCAAAAACAAAGAGTCTCAAAGATTCTTTTGTACGAGGAACTACCTTCTTCCGCCACTCACATCTGCTGCTGACATCAAAACAGCAGAAACTGTTGCTACTTCACCAATGTCACTTTAGAGCTAGTATTTGAATGATTCTCTAGCGTAATGTCTAAAGTGATGACAAACCGCGCGATTTTGATCACATTTTAAGATTATAATGCTGAACGGCATGAAATGCCATTAGTCTACAAAGATTTCCCAGTATTTCTCAGTTGCAATTAGGATGCCACCATAATTAACCCTGAAAAAGCCAAAGCAAGGCAAATACTACCAGATTACTATGGTATAATTACAGCACTACAACATACAAAAGAAAGAGATCAACTTAGAATGTCATTTACCTATTTTATAATGATTTGTTCAGCCGTATCTTGAAATTAACACAGAATTTTTGTCCCCTAGGGACTTTTTATGCAGTCTCTTTCGCCATCTTGTGGCGAAACGTCAGCCATTTTATGACAGGCTAATAGCTGCTAACATGCTTAATCTCCGAAATGATAATTATTTAAAATAGGCACTATTCTTATAAACAAACTGCATAGTTGCGATCTAAACTACATTCTTGCCTACAAAAAGCCTCAAAAGTGCATTTTGTTGTCCAACAGCTGCAATATTTGTCAAACATTACAAAGTTGTTAAATTTCTCTTTAGTCCTAGAGTAACACACAAGGATAAAGAGGCTGTACGAGCGCTGATATTGATTTAATATCTCAAGGCTATCAGCCAATCAGATTCGAGAACCAGACAGAACTGTTGTATAAATCCTATTACAAACAATTAACCACTACTTAGCTACTTATTATTAGTTATTAATGTAATAGTTAATATCTTAATAATAGACAGGTAATCTGTTGTGAAAGTGTTGAATTACTTGAACTAAAGTGTTACCTATTTGTTTATTTGTGTTGTTCAGTTTTTGTTCATGCTAGTTTTTATATTAGTCAGTTCTTTAACAAAGTATATAAAAAAATTGTTTTACTTTTAAATAGCAGCTATATTGAATATCTCCCCTTGAGAAGTCACAAGGGTTTGAAGCAAGATGTTTTGAGTAAATGAAAGAGTTTTGGTTTTTGGATGAACTATCCTTTTGCTGGCCAACCGTGCACTATATATAAACAAAACTCTATCAAAGTTTCATGGTTTAGAGATGAAGTTTACATCAGCAGCTACAAATAAACACACAATCACCACTGACCCCCTCACATCTTTCTGCATTTCTGCGGCCTCTACCTTCTCCAGGAATAACCAAAGTTCAGCCTTTCCCTTTTCTTTAGACTAGATTTTTGGGATGCTATTTTCCCCCTGCAAAACCAATCCATCAGCAGTTTCTCGATGCTAATGAAAGCGGTGTGTACGGGGGCAAGAGCTGGTTGTCTGTGGAAAAGAGCAGTTGTGATGTCGGTGTGGGCTGCTCTTGTTGTTTCTCCTGGCAGCAGTGAGTCATGATCATTAGCAGGGCTTAATAAAAAGCTTCTCAGTGAAGGCACTTCAGCTGGTCTCCAACTGGTCACATATCATCTCGGTTTGCCACGTGTATTGTTTCGTACACACTCAGACATGCAGCATAATTACATCCAGAGGGCTCTGTTCTGGAGCCAAACACACTCAAAGCTACGTGTAACTGTGTGGCTGCAATATGTAGTGTTTCTTAAATTCCCACTTTTGCGTGGAAAACATCCCAACGAGAATCGCAGTAGGAGGGTTGGGGTGGAAATGCTATTAATAGTTTAAGGTATAAATGCTTTTAATCTTTGCTGACGTGCTGACTAGGGAATTAACTCCGCTGGTAGTCTTTAGATGTGTCGTTTTGTGTGCCTTCATGCTAATTCCTTTCTCAGTATTTACTCTTTTCATCCCTCTGATAATATGCTAGGTGCTCTAACTAAATAGTGTTTGATTTTGCCAAATTGAGCAATTGTCTAACGAAGGCAAATTTGTACAATTTAGAATAATTACCTTAATTTGTATTTTTGCCTAAAAAGATTTGTTCACCCCAAAATACAGTTTCTGTTATGATTTATTTTCTCTAATGTACAAATATTTAAGAAATGTTTTTACAGTACACAAATGAAGGTGTCTTGAAGGTAAATATAACAGATTAAAAGCCTCATAATGTTGACAATGAGTTCAAATGATAAATAAATGTATAAATAAATCAATTTAATCCAAGTTTTGAAGAAACATGATCACTTTATATAATGATACTGATCAAATATTATCATTGTTAATATTTTTTTTGCAAACATTAGTCAACTAAAGCAATAATTAGGACATTTTAATTATTAGGAGCTTTGATTATTTTATGT